TTAAAGATGCACCTAATATTCCCTCTTAGGTTTCACCCTTTATGCAATGTTTTCATATATTGTCTTATAGCACAGACATTTGCTGTGGTGGAAACACTTATGATTTATATGGTAGGTAGCTTTTACATGTCTCTCTCTCTCTCTCTTGCGCACACACACAGACACACAAACACACAATGTAATGGATAGGAGCTGGCTGAGGGCGTCTGTCAGGGGCGACTGTTCTAATCAGAGCAGTGGGGAGAGAGATAAAGGAGAAAATAATGAGTGTGGCATCAGGCCTTTCATAGCGCAACAAAAGGCCACAGGATCAGATAGACACACACAATGTGGAGAGGAGAGGAAGGGAGGAAAGGAAGAGAGGGAGAGAGAGGAGAAAGGGAGGAGTGGGAAGAGAGAGAGAGAGAACGAGGGATGGACGAGGAACCGGTTTGCTAATAAGCCTTCTTGCACTGTAGGTGATGTAGGAAACCGTGAGGAACATTAGAAAATGCTAGCTTAAGTCTGGCTTTACTCAAAGGATGATGTCAAATGACAGATCGACGGTTCTCTGACAACATCAGTCATTTTAGCACAGAGCAGTTCTTCAGTAGGAACCGATTATAAACGCTTTTCTCTGTTCACATCCTTCCAACTTTTGTCTCAAAATACTTAAAAAAATGTTTCTTTCTGCTGATTAGTGCCGCTTCATTTACTGCATGTGATAATTTCCAGTCATCCTTTGATTATTAATGCTTAATTTACCCAGATTACACTCCTTTAATTATTAATGCCTAATTTAGCCTGATGACTCCAATCATTAGAAAGTGCCCAAACTGAAAGCAAACAACCTTAGTGGTCTTCCCATGTACCAATACAGCCTCTTCTGCAGATAATGATACTGTTCAGAGGAGCCAGCGGGCCTGTGAGTGTTAAGTCAATGCCCACGTTTTTACCCAAACTCCCATCAAACTTTAAAGAGAAAAGAAATACTAATTAGAAACTGCAAGCTAGGAGAAATGAGCAGGCACACTCAGAACAGAAAATCCTATTCAGAGACTTAATGAGCTTGTCGAAGCTGAATAATTGATTTCTAATTCTAGCCTGCAGCTGTTGACCCAACCAGAGAGTGTTTTGAATGGAGCTGAAATATGTTGCGCTCTGACTTGGCACTGTTGGCTTTCTGGTAGCGGAACCATTACCAAATATTCTCATGTCTACCTCACACTTTAAGGTTTTATTTTGATTCATGCAAAGTTTTCACAGTTAATTAGTTACATTAATTAATTACAAAACATAATCAGACTCTCCACATGAAATTCATCACAGGTTAATTCCCTTGACAACTTAATCCTCCTTCAGATCTTGTTGAATTTTTTAGGCCGGACACAATTTAATAAAAGGCTGTTTGGTTTTCAGCTGTGAAAGCCCAGTGAGGTAAACTCTCCCAGCGTCTAAAGCGCTGGGAACCACCGTCCATATCAGATTGTAGGTGTTTTATGTTTCGCTCATTTGCTGCGGAGTGATTCTTTGTTGCTTGTGTGGACAATCATATCCTGGGGGCTCTGAGGCAGCAGCAGCACAGAGTACCCTGTGTGTGAACCACAGCCGCCCAGCGTCCCTGTAAGATGACCTCACGGAAAATAGGCCTAATTATTGCCGTGACAGCCCATGCTATCATATTCGGCCAGATCAGTCACTACATAGACGAGGAGGGGAGGGGGGAATAAAAATTAACAGAAATATATACCACCGGGCCAACCCCCCTTCCCCCGCAACTGAGCCCATTTATTTTTAATACCCTAATCAGCAGGTCCTGATGGTGGCTTGGCTCTCGCTCACCTGCACAGACAGGTGAGTACAGGTAAGGCAGCAGGGAGAGAGGAGGAGGTGGATGGCGAGCAGAGAGACGGGATGAGGCAGGATGTGAGAAGCAGAACTGATGTTCTGATCAACAAATGCAAACTTAGCTGCAAGGTGCATCCTCTGCATCAGATGGAAAGTTGTCCATACATAGCCTCTCAGTTTCAGGGCAGCACATTTTTGAATGCATACTTTCTCCCTGTACAGCAGGTTGTAGATAAAGGGATAAAGTGGTGGTGGAGCAGAGAAGAGACAGGGGGGGCAGGAGGACACTGCAATTACACAATGCACAGTTTAAGGTAGACAGCAGTGATTAACTCAAGGACTGTCCTATTCTTGAAGCCGTGGTCATTAGGGTCGGATCATTATATGATAGATTTCAGGGTTATTTGCCTGGTTTTGTTTCCAGAGACAGTATTCCGAGACACCCTGGGAATAGGACATACTACACCAATAGCTGCCTCCATGAGAAAAACACAGCAAATGTCAACGCTCTGTGCTGATGTGTGGATGCCGCTGATGCATTTACTTCCTGCCAGATTTTTAAGATCACAACGCAGAATTGTACAGCATCAGAAGGTTTTTACAGTAACTGCAAGTTTAGACAACTACACCCACAATTTCTTTAACATGTAACATTTCTTTAATATTGTATTTTTATGTATATGAAATCTGTATATTAAAAACTACATCAGATAGAGCAGGTCAAACCTGAACCAGGAAACTTTGGTTTGACTACAGCGATGAATGTTTACTGTGAACAATGTGGGAAATTCTTTCTTTATTCCAGGTAAGATGAGCTCAGCTGAGGTTTGGTTTAAAAGCTGAATGATGAGCTGCCTGCTTGTGTTTCTTTTATCAAACCCTCCGAATTACCCAACAAAATATGGCATCACACAGAAGTATTTTCTGATCTGACGCCCTTATCGACAGGATGACATCACTGTCTGTGTTTTTGAAAAACGTTACCAACCAGTGTAGAGAAATAAATCCCTGACAGGTTTAAGCTTAGCGGCTTGATCAGGTTTAGAGAAAGATCCTGATTTGACCCGTTCATCTATCCAGGCCTCGTCCCTACACATACTTTGTCGTGCTATAATAACGTCACCCGACTTCCTCCTTTGCTCTCGTCTTAATTACTACAACCACTAGAGAGCTTTGTCACTTGACTGTAAACATGATTTCTGGCCACTAATTGAGAGTGCTGATGCTGCGGATCTTCTCGGGACAACAGTCTTGTTTTGTTTTATCTTGTGTGAGGTCTTTGCCATATTTAAAAAAGTTACAAAAATAAGATCAAGATTAAAAGAATGAGTTTGTAATTACAGTTTGACCGGGATGACAGGACAGAAATTAATAATTCACTAAGCTTAGAATAAGAATAAAGCTGCAAAGAAAAACATTGCTGGTGTAAACACACATGTACATCTTGCATGCGCACATAAACACCAAAATCATGCGTGAGCAATAAAGCTAATGTGATTAATCTCACTGATTACAAAATAAGCCTTCTTGATACAAATGTGTTTTCATTTGTGGGTTTCTGATTGTGTGTTGGTTTGTGCATGCATGTGTGCATCTATGTGGCTTTTTGCTGGGAAAGGGAAGAATACAGCAGTAGCCCTTGTAACCCAGCCCTGCCCTCCACCTCCTCGGCTGTCACTGGCCATGTGTAGTGTGTAATAGGCACTGACAGTTGTTGCGCAGGTCAGTAACCCTGTGGCCCTGTCTAATTGAGGCTAAGGATCCCGGCTTGTCCTGCCATCTATAATTAACCACATCATCTGCAGCCGTATGAAAGATTCAGCTGGACTGGGAGTGGCCGATACACGATCTTGCCATTGCTGTTTACTGCTAGTGTGTACAAATGTGTAAACGTTCATGCAATACCATGCTACTGTACTCTATCTATAGAGATTTTTGTAAATTTAGAGCATGTGTGACGTTCAACCTAAAACTATCACTTATCACTTATGTCACTACATATTTCTTTTAAGTCAATTTTGCAGCAGTTTGATCAGTTAGTTGTCTGTAATGTTGCTGCAAAACAAAAGCCACTTGCAAGTAAGTAAAAGCCAAGAAGATTTGCAGTAAGATTGGCTCGTGTATCCTCTCTACTTTCCCCCTTGCTGCTTGATCTTTACCGTGACAG